GCCGATGCCAAGCAATGTTATTGAAGTGACAATTGAATTTTGTGAACCCTCTGTGGTCCAGCCAGCATAGCATGCAGTGTGCTGAAGATGAACACGTGGTTTACAATAAAGGATCTTCTGCCGAAGCACGGTAGCACTCAGCCAAAAAGAACATACTGATTTGATGACTTGACTTCTGATACTGAGTGTTTTGGACTGGGGTCCATTCAGAAGCATGATGATTGGTACCTACAAGAAGGATATTTAGAGCAAAATCTAATCTTTCCCAGAAATCTTTATCAAAAACTTCATTGAAAATTTCATCAAGTAGAGCTTTGCATATGACAAATTATCTCCTTGTCTAGTCAAGAGTATCCTTGCCTCACTCTTTAATTGAATCCTTGTGTGGGAAAGAAAATTCCTGAAATAAATTCTGATGATAATTTTCAATGACGTCGTGCCTTATCACAGCTCCAGTGACCAAGTGCTTTCAAAATTTCACCCTCGCAGAATGACCTCACACTCTCACTGCCTTGCAATGCTGTTGCTAAAAGCGAACGTTTATGGTTTGGGAAAGCAGCTCCGAAAATGAAAACTGCTGGAATTGTTTTGGTTGCTGAAAATATACTTGGCCTCAGTGGCTGTGGCACTCTTGAAAGGAAGCAGCTTTGGCTCTGAGCTTAGGCAGACCCCGAGTTTGAACCCTCCCCTTCTCATGCACTCTGTCCTTAATAGGTCATTCAGCTTTTTGTGTCCCTTTCTCTTTCCTGACAAAACTGAGCTTCCCAGGGCCTGGGGAAATGGCTCATTTGTAAAGTGCTCACTTCATAAGGATGAGGATCTGAATTTGGACACCCTGGACCCATGCAAAAAGCTGAATATGGCAGTGTACCCTGTCATCCCAGTGCTGGAGAGTGGGGGATGGAAGGGTCCTTTGGGTTTGTGGGGCAGCCAGTTTAGCCAAATCAGTGAGCTCCAGGTTCAGTGAGAGACCCTCCCTCCCAAAATAGGGTGGAGAGCAATTGAGAAAGACACACAGTGCTGATCAGGCCTCCACACACATTCAGACCAACACATACACCGCACACACATACACAAACATACACACAACTCAATAATCTGCACATGCATTAACTATATGTAAAGAAGGGCTGGGCATTTTACAATAACATCTGTCATGGACAAAGCCTGCTATGTGACAGGCACAATCCACTGCACTGAGCACACATTATTTTAACTCTGTAATTCTTATGTAGAATAACTGGCCTGACCTCCTTTGTCTGAGACTGGACTGAGTTTACAACGGAAAGTCTTCAATCTTCAGGACCATCTCAGCTGAGGACAAAGTAAAGCAGTTCTTCACCCATCACTTTGTGGTCTCACTTTACAGGTATGGAAACTGAGACTCGGGCACAAACTACTGCCTAATATGTCAGAGCTGGGCAAGAATAAGCCTGGTATTCAAACCCAAGCTTGAACACATCCCAAGCCAGGGCTGTCTGTGGTCCTAAACTAGGCTCAGTCAGGGTTGGTTCCCCTACTGTGTTACAAGAACATCTTGAACTTTACAAAAATTCAGACGTCAGATCACATTTTTCTAACCTTTAATTTTAATTTCAGGAATGCATTTGTGAGGGGGTGTTTGTATGTGTTGGAGAGTGAGAAATAGTGATAATAAGAATGAAAGCCTAAAAGTCTGGTCTTTGTTTAATAGAGCACCCTGTGCTTTGTGAATGTAGAAACCATTCATGAATTATTTACTCATTCAACAGGTATACAAGGAGGTGTGCTGTGTGTAAGATACTTGGGGAGATATAATGAAGGCTAAAACACTCAATGTGTCTGTAACAGGAGTATGAACAATCAGTTGCAAAACAGTGCTAGAACTTTGGCAATAGTGACAAGTCTCAAACCCATGCCCTGCAAGGACATTGCCTAGCTGCTTTCTCTCATGAGATGCTTGAGCTACATGAAGCCACATGGGCCTTCCTTCATGCTTCCAGCTCCCCCCATTTCTCTCCTCTTCCCTCCTTCCCCTTCCTTCTTCTCCATTGGCATTAGCTGTTATTTTTTGACTGGAGGGTTCATTCTCTTATCTTTTGTTATTTGGAGGAAATGTCAACTCTTCAGGAATAACTGAAGGGTGGTCATTGTCTGTCTGTGCTGGACAGTTTTATGTCAACCTGACACAAGCTAAAGTCATCTGAGAGGAGGGATCCTCAGTTGCGGACATGTTTCCGTAAGATCAGAAAGTAGGCAAGCCTGTAGAACATTTCTTAATGTGATTGATGGGGAGGGCCCAGCCCCTTGTGAGTGGTGCCATCCCTGGGATGGAAGTACTGACTGGATTCTATAAGAAAGTGGGCTGAGTAAGCCATAAAGAACAAACCAGTAAACAGCACTTCTCTGTGGCCTCTGTATCAGTTCCTGCCTCCAGGTTCCTGTCCTGTTTGAGGTTCTGTCTTGGCTTCCTCTAATCAACTGTGATGTGGAAATGTAAGTCAAATAAACCCTTCCCTCCCCAACTTGCTTTTTGCTCATGGTGTTTCATTGGAGCAATAGAAACCCTAGCTAAGACTCTACCTCAAGCTAAATTAGCCACTGTTTTGATTGTAGGATGTACGTATTCACTACCAAATAATTTATACTCATTGCTTTTTGTTCTAGCTTTTCCAAACATAAATACCAGAAAGAAAGGGGAACCTATTTAAATTATTTCTTGTTTTGTCTTCAGCTGTATTTGCAGGATTTAAAACAATGCTAGGTGCATAGAGGCAAACTAATATTCATTAAATGAGGAAAATGAATTGATTAGCAACTGTTTCTAATGGGCAGCTAACTCTACATGAAGCAGTCATCAGAGGCTTGAAGGAACATCTTTATCCAGTCTTATTTTTTTCTAGTTACAACAATAGTGCATCCTCAGTTTAAAAAATGTTGACAGTCATAAAAATTGTAAACAGCATTAACACTAATCTTTTTTACACTCATAATATTATGCTGTACATTTTCTCCTAGATCTCCTTTGACTGATGTTCATAGATGCTATTGTTTTAAGACAAGGTCTTGCTATAACACCAGCTGGCCTTGAACTTGTGATTTTCCTGCCTCAGCCTCAGTTGCAATTGTATGTGTGTGCTACCATACCAGGTTCCCAGATAATCTTCAAATTAAACAGTAACAAATTCTTTTTTTTTTTAATAGTCCTATGTTTTGGAGGTATGCACTTTATCTTTTTTTATGTACTTTCTCTTATTTTTCTATTCTCGTGTTAAATATTGCCTTGTTTTTCCTCAAAATTGATACATTATAATTTATCTAGTTAAATCTATGTTGTAGGAACTCACTATGAAAAGCATGGACTTAAAGAGCTCCAAAGTAGATAATTCTGTCGGGAACTCACTCAGCAGCTGAAACACAGTACAAACAAGATTTTGGTTTAAATTATATATTTTCTTTGAACAGTGTTTGTGTGTATTTGTGCATGTGTGTATGATGATTTTGTGTGTGTGTGTGTGTGTGTGAGTGTATGTGTGTAGGTCTGCGTGTGTTTGAGTGTATGTGTGTGTGTTTGTGCAGGTAGGTATGCGTGTATGAGTGTATGTGTGTGTAGGTGTGTGTATGTGTATATATGTATGTGTGTGTGTGTGTGTGTGTGTGTGTGTGTGTGTGTGTGTGTAGGTCAGAAGTTAACGTTGGGTGTCTTCCTCTTTTTCTTTTCACCTTCTGTTTTTGATACGGAGTCTCCCACTAAACCTAGATCTTGATGTTTTAGTTCGACTGTCTGGTCAGTGAATCCCGGGATCATTCTGTCTCCACCCTACTCCACCAATGCTGAGACCACAGGTGTGCACTGCCACACACAACTTGTAATGAGTGCTCAGATCCTTCAGGCTTGTGTAGCAGGCACTTGGCTTACCCTGAGACTTCTCCATGGCTCTGTCTTTTAACTTTCTGTTTTTTTAAAAAAATGTTTTTTTATGAATAATAAGAGGACGCAAAGAGTACTGACTTCATGTTATTATGCAAATAACATGACGTCACAGAAGTGAAGTGCTTGGGCCAATGTACAAATGCAATAAATGTTAGATGGCCTTGATAACCTGTGAATCAACTCCTACAAGTCCAATTTGCTTTCCAGTTTATCTTGAAGGCAAATATGAACTAGCTGTAAAGATGGATGGGAAGGAGGCTATAGTCTGAGGAAATGGAGTCAGAAAAAAAATTCATTTTTTTTTAATTATGGAGGAACTGTGGGTTTATCCTGCACCAGCCAGAAACTTCAAACTATAAAAGCTCATATTAACTGTGGCTTGGCTCTTATATAACCCAGATGGCAGCTCTGGTTATGTTCCTGCTTTACATCATCACTGGAAATACAGGTGCCTCTTGGTATCTCATAATCCACAGATGCTCAAGGCCCTCATACAGAACAGTAGTCTTTGTATAGAACACATACACACCCTCCTCTATACCTTATCATCTTTGGATTATTCAAAATGGCCAATATAACACTTATGCTATGCAAATAGTTGTTACCTATGCAACCAATCTAGGCCAACCTCATGGTAGAAATTAGCTACAAGTAACCTTTGTTTGCCCTAATTTCTTCGGTCATAGTTGGCCGCATCCCTTGGTACAGTGCTGATGGATGGGTAACTGTATGTTTTTCTGGACATTTAGTGCAAACTGATCAAGAGAATACTAATGATTTCACCTGGGTAATGGGAATGGAGGCTGGGATGTCCATTAATTTGATAAGGGAGTCAGAGAAGTGAAGATTGATCCCCAGACAGCAAATTAAGATATCAGTGTATAAGGATGCGGGG